GATCTTTAGCCGACGATTTCTTCCTTATTATTGACCCAAACACTTTATAAATGCATATTTGTGACCTTCTTACGTCGAAAGAAATCGATTGAGCTCAAAAGACACCCATGTGAAATTTAGATTTTTGGTCGAAATTTTTCCAAGGGTGGGGGTCGATTTTTTGAAAAAATTAAACTTATCTCAAAACATCTTTAATATCGGAAAGCCATCGGCACCATATATCAAAATAGTAATTTTTTTACAACAATTTAAAAAACAGCGCTTTGTACGGGGGCACTACGAAAAGTTCCAACTTTGCCCTTAAACTCTTTAACTGGTCAACTCAAATTGAGCACTCAAGCCCGGACTATTCCGGGATCCATTGATAAAAACGAAGGAATCATGGACAATTGAATGGAAACTAATGGGTTTTTCGGGTTTTTAGGCCACGTCAGGAAGAAATTCTACCTTCCTAAAAACCCGAAAACCCCATTAGTTTCAAGGAATGGCCTCGAAAGTCTGTCTGTTTTGAAAATTGAATGGAAAATCCAGCACCAAAAGCGGGCAAGATCCATGAAACGATCGCTTTCTTAAAATATGTGAGAAACATGGCACGTTTCCTCGACCGATTTACCACCTACCATCTTGGTAAATATTTAAGGGGCACTTATCGAGGGTCATGTCATGTGTTTTGCCCACGTCCACTAAATTAATGCAAACGTCAGCCTCAACTGGGACAAGTTCATTTTCAATTGCTTATTAAAAGCACGCAATTGCAATTTATTTATTTTTTTCAAACACCCGGTACATGGTCGGCTGATCAATCGGGGGACTTGGTGATTGGTCCAGAATGCACTGCGCATGTCAAATTCGGCAATTGTTCGCTGGAAAGTAGAGGGTGAGCCAAAATTGGAGTTCGAGAGTGGAAGTTTTTGGGGAAATAGCTGTGGGGTATACTGGGTGGCGCAACAAAGAGTCACCACGCTGAGACCTTGATATAATCGATTTTTAATCTTCACGAAACATCTCCGATGACAGCCCAGATCGATAAGGACCTATACCGCGGCGAAATAAATAAATAAATAACTAAATAAATAAACATAAAAAATCGGTCAATTTGCGGGGCATCGATTTTGCGTAAACCTCAACTTGAAGCCCAGCCCTGTGACGTTGCTATTAGAGCGCACGTTGATCACTATGGGGCCAGAGCTCGTATCTGGAAGAAAGAGCGCGAATCAATCAACAAAATAAAAATAGCAAAAATTAAATAAAAAAAATGCCGCGACTAGCCTGAACCGGAGAACCCCAAACGGTGCAAAAGAGGGCGCTCTATTACTTCAAAAGCACTTACCGACTACAGGGGCGTTCCGGCTGAAGTTCATCACGGTGGAACCGTCATTGAATCTGTCACCACATAGGCGGGTGCCATCGATGATAATGAAATCGTCCGGACAATTGAGAACATCCACGCCCGCTTGTCCCGCCGGCACTGTAATCTGTCCATCTGGAAAACATTTCCGACTGCATTTCCTGTGACATGTGACAGTCCAAATCTCATAGAAAACATGTATGCTGGCTGCATAGGCTACTCATTAGCAGGAAGGTAGGCGCGCATTTGGAGCCTTGCCAAAATCAGGTTTTCGTGCGATTTAAATGAAACTTTCTGGAA